CTTTAGCCTCAAGTTAGTTTCCCAGAGGCAGAGTGTGAGAAATAACGCCTCGAGTAGCATAGATTGAGTGGCAGAGGTCGATTTGAATACTTGAACAGGGAAGATACCAGATGGATCCTAAGGGGCAAGACAGAGAATCTGATAATACCAATGAGGATAAGACTCCGGAACAATATGACAGACTCTGATAAACATTCCCAGCACAAGGGTAAAAGAGTGAAAGGGTAAGAAAGCCAGCGTGGGGTGTAGAGAGTTCTCATGAAATCCTTTCAAAAGGACACATCATACCATATTTAAATAAGAAAGTTAAAAATGGTTATAGCGAAGAGTGATACGAGAATATAGGATTGGTGATTAGCCCAAGGCAGAAGAAGAGATACCACAACTGTCTAGTAGACAATTGGTCAAAGGATCGGCTTCTCTTGTCTCTTTGACGAGTTTTAGTGTGGTGCAAAGAAGGGCAAAACTCATCGAAGATGCCGACCACGATGCCGTCGAGCCATCTGGGAATGTACCACGTCAACGGTCCGACTAGAAATCAACATGCATACTATGGACTCCGGACTAGGTGCGTTACAAGTTGCGAAAACAAGGTCAAACAACTTTGAAATAGAATTAAATTCAGAATTGTCAGGGAAAGGAACAAATATTGTCCTGATTTCATAGTAATCACGATAATTTCATGAAGCAAACAACTTCTATACAACTAAAAAAGACCGCGAGCATAATAAAGGCCACATCATCTTGGTCTTAATATCTCTGATTATAATTAAAGATAGGTGAAATATTACCATTTAAAAATAAATATATGATAATAAGCAAATCACTTTGTGCTCAAAAGATAAACCCAAATAGACAAAAGTGCGAATGTAGGCGGAATCAAGGGTATACTTTGCACCAAATATGAAATATTAAAAAATGTATACATTAACTTGAATATATAAACATAGTTACCAAAATTTGACAAAAAAGTGAAATTAAAATCTTAAGTTAGTTACTTAATAAACATGATTGTAATAATGATTGCTCTTATAATTAGCTACTACTATGGCACAATAATTATTTCAGTGTAGACCATCAGTAAAGATCTCGGCGTGTATGCAAATAATATATAAAAAATTAAGAAATCAAAGATAGGTGGCTAAATCTAATTAATATGAGGTAGTAAGTATAACTGCATTTTAAGCGTTTATGTATAATTAGTAATGAAAAAGGCACATGAATATGCCAAAAATTATATCAATCACATTTAGACAACTTTGAATGGAGGCCCATATAAATTGGTTCGATAATAACTTCTGGTTTGTGACAGTTGGATATTAAGTTAAATAATCGATCAATGTTACGTCACTAACATGACAAACTTTGGAAGAGTAAAGATAGTATAATTTGGCGAAAACCAAACCTAATGTATACATTTGTTAGCATATTAATCAAAATTTTATGTATTGAATAAGGAAACCATGCGTTTATCTCAAAAAAGCATGATTTTGCAAAACAAGTCCCAATAAATGTGTTCATTGTTCCCACAATAAGTCCTAAAAGTTCATACAAATAATGACCAAATATAGATAAATCTAAGAGAAAAATAGTTATGAACTTATGGAACGTATCTAGTCCTATGCCTTTTGCCATATTATTACCCGTCTCAATGATGCCCCGACCAAGTTACCGACTAGATATAGATATGCCAATTAAAACTCAAGAGCATTTCTATCTGGGCTTGAATCTCAAGCCAGAACACAATGACGACTAGCTAGGCATGATAGGAAGATTGCGATTAAACTGAGGTCCACTAATTTGAGCCTAATCTCAGTTTCGTAAATAAGTGGTATTTTTATGAAAACTTTGAAAGAAGTATCCGTTACCATGTCCTCTGTCATTATTGACATATATTCTACCTGTGCTGGATCTGTGAATGGATAAATACCCAGACGATTCGCTGGAATCCTCAATGCCTAGCATGACTGATCAAGCTACACTGACGATGCCAGCAAAAGGTATGTAAATATACCGATTCATCGAGCCAATGTTAGGCCCGTGGCAACAATGACAGAGAACGCTGTACGGCGTACGTTCTACTCAGCCTACCTAAAAATATGATAAATAAATTCCATACAGCAATTAAGATAGCGATTAAATCAGATATGCCAAAATGGTCCTCATATTTACGATTGAATCTAGTAATGACCAAGAGGAGCACGCCTTTTCCGAAATAAATAGTATGCATTATATTTTATGGTCGGACCATGGTCTTGGTACATTCCCACACGTTTCACCGGCATCGTCAGTGAGCCTTGCCATTCTTAGCACTGAAGATACCGGCGAAACGTCTGGGAATGTAGAAGTACATGGTCAGAATCCTGAAAGTATCATGCATACTATGGACTTCGGACAAGGTGCGTTCCTCTAAGTCGTCCTGACAATACGACCAGTTGCCAAAATAAGGTCAAGAAACTTTAATACAACGAAAGGATACCATGACCATGCTAAAGGCCACAACGTCTTAATTTGACAATACATTCGATTGAATATTGTTAATTTTGGATCATTTTCTCAAGCAAAGCTGATAAGAGTTCAAGATAAAGCATAGTGGTGGCAAAACTAAGCTAGAAAAAAAATTAATAGGGTAGAAAGCATAGCAATATATCAATGACAAAGACATGGTTCTAAATAAAAAGCAATGCATCATTTATGTAAAAATTAAGATGTTATTTTATATCTCAATAATTTTAAGAAAAAAGGAATTCGAAATTGGTCCCAATAAAAGCAAAATAGTGCCTTCATGTTTCGACTATTAATTATAGCATATAGGCCCTCGAAGCACTATCATGTGGGTGAGATGAATCCGTGTCTATTTTTTGCCCGTCGTGTAAAAGATATCGCATGAAAACATAATTAGAAAAACTTGCATTAAGAACTAAGCCTAGGATTATGGGAGTTTGAGAACCTAACTACTTCTTATTGCCAAATCTACCCACTAAATGGGATATCTTATAATTTTTTTTGGTTTGCTTATGGTTTTCCTAAATGGTTGTAGATAAGTAGTGGCAACAGAAGCAGATTCGGTTCTGACAGAACTTCTAATTCCTAACCAGAATAACGCACGTTTTGATTCTGTAAT